ATTGTAGATTCAATTAGAGGGAGAGGTTTATCTAGGCAGTTATAGTTTCTGTATTGTATAATGTTGAGTAGGTTATAGGAGTTGATTCAATCCTCCCCCATTCCCTCCCGAGTCATCTAGTATCAGAGCTTAGGCTCCTAGAAGCCCAAATCTATATTTATTTGCTTTTAGTATTTTGTTCATTAACAATTCAAATTAACTTTTGATTTTTCGTGTTTCATCTTGCTTGAATTCATATCTATTCGTTAAATTTAAGTAGTTCATGTTTATTATTCGAAAAAATTATATATACTAAAAATACTAAAAATATCTAGTTGCACCATATAAGGCAATTGACACGTTGTTTGCATTTTGCATAATAAAAGCAAAATAGCTACCTAATTGGAGACTGAAAATCCTTTGAGAAATTGAAGGTAAAATACGTTATCTAATGGGTGCAAGCGAAAACTTTTTTTTTTATTCCACACATTATTCACGTTTAATTTTCGAATTGCATTTCTTTAATCTTGCATTAACGTTACATAAAGAAATTTGACTGATTGTAGAGCATAGCCGCCAAATTAGGGATAGTATAGGTATACCTTCTGGTTATATCCATCGAGATTGATCGAATCCCTACGCTTCAGTTCGTTTTGTCAATCTTTGTGATTTATGTTTCTATCATTCATTTTATTTTTGCTCCATTACAAAAAAAAAGTTATTATTTGAGTGATTAATCAGTTCTAGTTACTTAACACATAGGAAGCACACTATTTCTTCCTCTACGTGCTTAATTCTTAGCTTTAGTAGAAATTAGAATCCTTTAAGGTTTCTTATTGTATCATAAGGACTAACATGTAGACTCGATTTAAGCGATTCCAATTTTAAATGCTTAACTCGATAGACAAAGTTGTTAATTGAGAGATTGTCAAGTAAATACAAGGGAAGGTGAGAGAGAAAATGTATTCTCTTCACTAACCTTTCTTATAGGTACTATACTATGTCTCAATCCATCGAAGACGCTTTAGTTGGGAGTAATGTCCTCGTTGTCCGAAGAGCTCTCAACGTGCAAGTTAGGAGTGAAGACAACGAGTAGAGGAAGAACATTTTTCACACACGATGTCTTGTCAATAGAAAGGTATGTGGAATGATCATTGACAATAATAGTTGTGCTAATGTGGCAAACACTCTATTCATGGAAAGAGCGTCAACCTCTGTGCTCCCTACCGGTTACGGTGGTTGAATAAGTGTGGCAAGGCCCAAGTTACCAAGGAAGTCGTAGTGTTATTCTCAATCAGAGAATATCACGACGAGATATGTTATGATATTGCACTTATGCATACTAGTCACCTGATACTTGGGAGACCTTGGTAGTTTGATAGACAGGTATAATATAGCAGCCACACCAATTGATATTTATTGCGAAAAGGATGGTCTAAATCATATCTTTATGCCTTTATCACTAAAAAAGGCACATGAAGATCATGTTAAAATTAAACGATCCTTTCATAAATACTCGAGGAGAGCAGAAGAGAAAGAGAGAAGGCCGAAAAGGAAGCTAATAGTTCGTTAAGCATCAAAAAAGCTCGACAAACAGTTAAAGATGATCCATTAAGAGAAAAAACACAAAATAAAAACAAAGGAGTGTCATGATAACAAAGACTCAATGTTAAGGAATAGCTCTTGTAAAAAGGGAGGTTTGATTGTACTTACTTATAGGAAGATTCATTTTGACCTTAACCATTATTCACATAATCGTACTGTTTTCCTCTTACAGATAATTATCATGGCAAGTGGGCTATGAAAATTTGATTCATATCCTAGAGGAATTTTCAATGAAGTCATGACATGCCTCAACAAAGTAGACATACCGAAGAAGTATGGTGTGTTTTCTATTGTTATCACTGACCATTCTCTTTTCAATGAAAATCGAGATTCGAGGACGAATTTTTTTGAAGAAGGGGTGGCATGATGTGATATTGGACAACCGAAATTTGGTGTCAAGGATGCCAATCTGCATTTGAGGGGAATCCAATAGGTCCTGACTCAAACAAGAAAATAAGTTCCAATTTCCTAAATGGGAACATTCAGAACAAGAAAATAATTTAATCCCTGTCTACTTTCCAAATTGGGATTATTCCAAGAGATGGGTCAAGTTTGTTCAAGCCAAAGACTTAAGCCCCAAAAAAGATTAATGTGCTTGAAGAATTGTAAGAAAGCCCACGCTCGAGGAAGATGACCAATGTGAACCAAGTGTGCACAGGCCACATGTGCGTGATATGAGCATGTGAGTTGCAAGGCTCCTGCATAGGTAGACCCAGCAGCTCCGGCACACGACCCAAAAGGCCTGCAAACATTACTTGTGGAGCCCGCCACTCGCGCGCAGACCCAAAGGGCCGAATGTGTGCACTCCATGCGGACAGGCCGGGACCAGCCTAGCACAAGACCCATGGCCCAACTCGCGGGCTCGCTATCTGCTGCCCGTACGGACCAGCCAGCACGGGTTGCCCAAACCAGGTCGGCCTGTTCTCAACTTTTTTAATTAATTAAGTTATTTTATTATTTTTAAAAAGGTTTTGAGTCCCACTTTTTAATTAATTCATATTTTAAATTAAAATCCTATATGCTTAAACTAATTTCCCCAAGTGTTTTACATGAAAATCACATGAGATAAGTCTTATCTTATTTTAATTATTATTTTATTGTAAATTATATCCCTAAAGTTATTTAATTAATTTCTTTGTATTTAGATGGAATTGAATAAATATTTTATTATGTAATTATTTTAAAATTAGATAAAATTTTATCTAAAATATTATTTTATTAATTTATTCAAGAATTTTGTACTCATCTAGATTATCCCGAGAAAGAATATAAATAGACATTTGCCTACAAGTTATAAACACACAAATTACAATCAATTTGAGAGAAATTCTTGAAAGTTTAGTCTTTTCTTCTATTAGCATTTTTGCTAATTTAATTTCTTCAAGCTCTTCGAGGAGCAGGAGTATTCAGAAGTCTTGTCAAGCCACTTCTGGCCTCAGTGATGTATGTATTTGGAACATTATTTATATATATATATATATATTTGTAAGAAATTTGTTAAACTTTGATTCCACTGCATAAATATTATCATGTATTCGTTATTATGAATTTATATATGACACCCATTTGCCTTAATTGACACCGGAGATGTCACATTTTTGATAGCTCAAATTTGGTGTCAAAGATGCTCATCTGCATCCAAGAGGAATCCAGTAGGTCCCGACTGAAACAGAAAAGTAAGTTCCAACTTTCTAAATAGGAACGTTCAGAATAAAAAAATAATTTCATCCCTATTTACTCTCCTAATTGAGATTATTCCAGGAGATAGACCAAGTTTGTTCAAGCCAAAAGACTTAAGCCCCAAGTAAGATTAATGAGTTTTAAGAATTATAAGAAAACCCACGCTCGAGGAAGATGACCCACGTGAACCAAGTGTGCACAGACCACATGCGCGTGACATGCACATGTGCATTGCAAGGCACATACACAGGCGGACCCAACAGCTTTATCGCATGACCCAGAAAGCTTGCAAGTATCACTCGTGGAGTCTGTTGCTCGCGCGCAAGCCCTAAGGGCTGAATGTGCGCGCCATGTGCAGACGGTCCCAGGACCGACCCAAACGCGACCCACGGCCCAACCCGCGGGCCTGCCCAGTTTGCCCAAACCAGGTCAGCCCGTTCTCCACCTTTTTAATTAATTAAGTTATTTTATTATTTTTAAAAAAATTTTAGGATTCACTTTTTAATTACCTATGTTTTTAATTAAAATCTCACATGCTTAAATTAATTTTTCCATGTGTTTTACATAGAATTCATATGGAATGAGTTTTATCTTATTTTAATTATCATTTTATTATAAATTATATCCCTAAAATGATTTAATTATTTTTTTTATATTTAGATGAGATGAAATAAATATTTTATTGTATAATTATCGTAAAATTCGATAGAATTTTATCTAAAATATTATTTTATTAATTTATTCAAGAGTTTTGTACTCATCTAGATTATCCTGGGAAAGAACATAAATAGACATTTGCTCATAAGTTTTAAACACACAAATCATAATCAATTTGAGAGAAATTCTTAAAAGTTTAGACATTTTTTTATTAGCATTTTTGCTAATTTAGCTTCTTCAAATTCTTTGAGGAGCAGATGTTTTCAAAAGTCTTGTTGAACCAAAGAGCGGAGATCAATTTATCAGTAAGTCTGTGGTATTTTTTCTTTTATTATTTTATTTTTTATATTTTTTATTTTTATATTCCTTGTAGAATTATAGATTCAATTAGAGGGCGGGTTTATTTAGGCTGTTAAAGTTTTGTTATTGCATACGTTGGGAGTTGATTTGATCCTCCCATACCCTCCTGCGTCAATTATCCATGAAAATTTATGATATCCAGGAGATACATGAATTTATGTTAGAGTTGTAATATTTTATAGTAATTCAGTAATTTTATGTACTAACTATAAATATATCGACTAATATTAATATCATTATAAGATAATATATTAATATAACAAATGAATGTAAAGTATGAATTAAATATAATAAAAAAATTAGTTCTAAAGAGAAAAATCATCATAAATAAAATAATATAAATCATTCCGATGTATTAAATGATGAGGAGATTAAAGAAGTAGATTTGTGCTTTTAAATAATAAATTAAGATAATTAATTATAAATTTTTTTAAAAAAATTATGTATCTGACAATGATTATGATAAGATCTCAACAAATTATGGTACTAGGCAAATAAGTCAAAATTGTAAAATTTTAATTATAAAAAATAATGAAATATTAAATTTAAATTTCTTGAAAAATATCAATATAGAAATAATTAACCAAAATAAAAAGATAAATTATAATAATAACTAACGTGGGGTTGGACGGGCTTGGACTTAGTGAAAGCCCAACAAGAATATGTATAATAAATAGAATTAGTTTAAATTTAAAACAAAAATGTTAAAAAATAAATAATAAGCTTCCACCACCATCATCCTTGCAGTTGGAGAGACCATTCCTAAAATAGCTAATCAAGGTCAAAGTAGCTTGGCCATGTAACAAGGACGCATTCGGAGTATGTATCATGGCCGAATACCGCAATACTAACCAAATCGAGAATTGAGTTCAAGAACCAAGCAGATCTTGGCATCGAAAAGGCAGATGGAGTGTCTTCTATCTCTTTTCTTCCAGATAATTGTGTTTCCTGAACCACCACATCAAAGGATTTCCTAATAGCTTTCTCGGTGGCAGGAGGATGCCATGGACCAGAGGAAAACGAGGTGTGAGAGCGAGTTTTAGTATTTTCTTATGTTGCTTCATTCTTTTCTTATGCTATATATATATATATATCATTTTCAAAGATTTTACACCTTAAAAGTATTAGTCTCCTTCCCGTGGGGGAGACAGAGTTGAGGAAAATTCCATTTGGTTAAACAGGATTCTCTTGAACTGCAGCCTGCAGAAGGATTAGGCGTTAAATCCTTTGTCACCTCCAATAAGGCTCTCCATTTTAATGGTTGTGGAGGTTTATTCTAGCAATGGAAAGTTGTGTTGGAAGATTGTCAAGGCTAGATATGGTGTTATGGTGGGCGTTGGATGACGGAGATGCCTTCGGTACTGAAAGAAAGACTTGGTTGGTAGTATTCATCTCGTGCATTTTGTAACTGGCAATGGGCAAAGATTGGGATTTTTGGACAATGTATGATATAGTGACTCTGCTTTGCAAACGTGTCTTCTTACAATCTTTTACTTAGCTTTTAATTAAGTGAACGATTGTAATCAACCTTGTCATAAACCTTTGGAGATTGAGGAGTATGGGAATTATATTCCTGCCCCTGAGAAAGATTCTACGGATCTGGTATGGAAAATGCCCCAATTTGGAATGTTTCTAAGGATGGAACTTGTTGTCAAAATCTTGATATATTGCTAATTTCAGCTGGATACTCTCCTTCACAGTTGGCCTGGAAAGCCTATTTGGAAGTAGAAGGCTTCCCCTGGAGTTTCTTTCTTTATCTAGGAAGCAACATGGGAGTGTATCCTTTACCATGGGTAACTTCAGTAAGAGGAAGGCATCATTGCTAATAGTTGTCTCTTTTGTTCTGCTATTTCAAATCCCTAACCATCTTTTGTTGTGTCTTCAAGCGAGAAGGCTTCCCTTTCAGGAATCCAGTGAGTGACGGGTGGATCTATTAGTAATGTAGCTACTATGCTGTTACGGTAATCACTGTCATGATAGAAAGAAGAAGCTTGTATCTCTTATTCCTCATGTCATTTCTTGCACTATTTGGAGAGAAAGGAGTAGGCGATAGTTGGTCCAAATTGTAAATATTTTGATCCCTCTGCAACAAACCAAAAAAGTTGAGTATTTTGTCTAAAGATGATTCTATCCTCTATCAGAACTCTTTTAGGTGATATTTTACCAGAGTTCCTCTTTTAATTTTCTAATTTATGAGCCCATAAATGGGTGGCAACCCCTTTGTGCCTCTAGAAATATCTTTATTTGTTTTTAATAAATTTTTACATTTAATGGATAATTTTTTCATTTATTTTTACCCAATATATTCAGCCTCTTTGAGGAGAGTTGGGGATTCCCACCCACTCTTGAGGTTTTTTTTTCTCTGCCTATTTGAGAGTTTGGGTGAAGAATAAATGATGTAAAGTGCTTTGGAGAAAGGCACCTTTTGCTGAGTGCTGGGCTTTGTGGTTGGAACACAATCCACAACTTTTAATTAATGTGTTAATCCTACAAATGCTATTTGGGGTAGAATGATCTGTATATAGCCTCTTAGGGGGCTAAGTGGGCTTGCCATTGACTATTTTGCAAAGTAATTGGGAAACTGTCATTAAATAGTTTCCCATTCAATTTTTACAAAATTTACCCCTTTTTCTTCTATTTTTTTCCCCCCTTTTCTAACTTGTTTTCTTTCTTTATATATGATGATACCTTGCCATTTTTCTATTGTTTTTCTCTTTCTTTCTTTTTCTTAAAAAAAAAATGAAAAAGAAAATAACCATAAGTCATTCTACTGGCGAACTACCAGTTTCAGCTGTAAACAATGGTACTTTATTATTGTGGCATAGCTTGTGTGGAGATTATGCATGTTTGTTCATGTGCATTTTACTGTGAAAATTCTTATAGAAATTATATTTCCGACATCTTTTTATTATATTTTATTTATTTAGAAAATAAATAAAAAATACTCTAAAAGTTTCAAAACTCATAAATTTTATGAAAATAATGGATAATATTTAAAATTGTTTGGACATTTTGGAACCCAACCTGAATGTTTGATGCATTGTTTGACACTGTTGCGTGCCACAATGTCTTATCCCTACTCTCACTTGTTTCTCCTCATGCATGTTGTAATGCCAACCAAGTATTTCCTTCAGAAAGGTGCAGGTTTAATATTCTCTTTCCTTTTTGATCTGGTAATATAGTTGCAATGCCTCCTTCTCACAGTAATGTGTAAATATGCCATCAAGCTCTCCTGTTCTTCTTTCCCTTGTTATCTGGAGAAGTTAGTAGCTCCCTTCCTATTCCCATGTGTAGTGGTAGAATCGGCCCAGCCTCCTATATGGAAATCCAATATCTTGAACTGGACACTGAAATAATGTGGTGAGGGAAGTGGCGTTGTGAGTTTGATGGGGGAATAGTGCTGACTGGAAGGAGAGTATTTACAATTCTGTGCTTTTTCCTTTTTTAAGGATAATTTGATAATTGTAAAATTATTAAAAAAAGTACACTCTTAAAATACATTTTCTATTGTAGAGCTCAGAAAGCCATTAGAAAAATTCTGTCTTGGGGGATTCTGTTGGAGGTTAATTAAGCTGAAGATGAATTTATCTAGAATTATCTTTTTCTGCAATGGGAGGGGAGTCGTGATTAGGAGGATTTTAACTGATGAAAATCTAAGAAAAGAAGGGGAAGATATAATGTTATCTTTATTATGGGTGACTGAGACTTGATATCATTCTGGTCAGTGGTTTCAGGATAAGCTCCAAGTGTGGGAAGGTATCCGGGCAATAATAGAAGGAAAAAACTTATTTTGTTTCACACTATTGGATATCTAAAAGACAAGCAATGGAAAGGGTTTCAGACGATGTTGCAGCCTCTTCTGGTAGACTTGGGCATATACGGTTCTAGACCTTCTGTTTCTTGTTTAAGGGTTATCTTTTTTCTTCTACATAGGACTTGGGAAAGTTCATTGATCTCATTTGTATTATATTCCTCATTTTTCTAAATGCGGGCAGCACTCTCTTAATTTGCTGTTGGTGCATCTCTTTTGGGGTCCTTCTAGAAATGCGTAATTAAGCTGAAACAAGAAGGGTATGTACAAATTAATGTCGGAGTTCGAAAACACTAGTGTGATAAAGTTGACAGGGTGTCACATGACGTGTCTATGGCAAGGATCTATCCACTATAAGTGTGCCATTATGGTATCTTTCTTGAGTTAATGAGTATAAATGGTCGGAACCCTAATTTCCTTTGAGATTGAGAAAACAAGAAAAGGAGGAGATGGAGCGGAGAGGTGGCGGTCGATATGATCTTCGTCCATTGGTGCAATCCTCATCAATGTCAGGTAAAACTTCATGCTTTTTATCTTGTTTGCTCGTCTCCATCATCTCATCATCGCCATCAACTTGTGAATTACCATTTTTATGCTCTCTCTTTCTCTCCTCTCTCATGGATTTTGAATCTTTTGAATCTACAGTATTTAATTTGCATCTTGTGTTTCTAGATATGATTAATCAGTTCTTGTTTTAGGGATTTGATTCTGGAACGATTTTTTGTGAAACTTTAGAATTTGTTGAACTAGACTTAGCACCTAGTTATTAAAGGGATTTTATGTGTTGATCAATCTCGATCCTTCAATCATGATCAATTTGCTCATAAAATCTTCTAAAAGAAGTTTTTGGGGTAAGTAGTTATCTCATTAATTATTTTTCATAGTATTAAAGTCATGTTCAACCCTGAACCCGCATGTAGTCTCACTGCACTTCCACTATGCACTTTTGGTATTGGAACTTGATGCCTAAGTTCAAATCTTGGGAACCTCATATATTCTCTTAGTTCTGTTTACTATTCTTTTTGACATACTTGGCAAGTTCAAATTATGCTGAGTCTAGTAATCTCTCTTTGTCTTCCAACTCATATTACTAAACTTAACATCCCTCCTTGGCATATAAGATCATGTTAGAGAATGTAGTATAAATAATGAAGTTGGGTCCTTCTTTTATGCAAACCATCTGAGAATATTTTTTCCATCTTATTATTAGTGTAGGCCGTAATCTTTTTAATTGGGTTGTTTATTCATTGTTTAGTTAAGATTTCTATTTAATTGTCATTTCCTATTTAGCATTCTAGTCATAATAGGATTTCTAGAGATACTATAACTAGTTGGGTGCTATTCCGTTGTTATTCCAATGGCTCATATCTAGAAGTCAATAGATATTTTCTCATGATTGAGTACTTCACTCCGCATGCTTGTCAGTTGTAACAATTCTCTGATTGCAGTTGTGTTTTTGACCTCTGTGATTGCAGATTGCCAATCATTATCATTGTGGGTTGCATCATTTCCATTTTCCTTTTTCAATTTCAAGTTTACTTTTTCTATTAGCTTAAAGATTTTGTATTATTGCTTATTCAACTAATTGTTTCTGAATTATCATGTTATGAACTAAGAGAAAATCAACCATTATGGTAGAAGCAGTTAGTTACTATACAATAGATTTAGATAATGTGATTTCCTTGAGATCTTGTGAATTAAAAGGAGGATTTTGCCCTTAGTACGATGTTTTTGATGATTCGGCACTAGTTATATATTGTAAAGCCAACTATATAACCGATTGTAGCATTTCAATTAATTTTTTTGAATTGACCAACAAATTGTTAGAACATGCAAAATGTTTGTTAAGTTTCATACAACCATTTTAGATGACAACAGGACTTACCATTGTTGGATAAGGAGGAAGGATCTGTTGATAGTTCAGCTGAAAAAGATCTCTTGAACTTATTTAATTTTTTGTAGGCAGATTGTTGATTATTCTTTTCACTAACTACAGGTTGCTTCGAGGGGCATAATGTAGTTTTCTCAACGCTATTGACTACTCCTTTTATTTAACAATGTTTCTTTTATAGGATTTTTTTTAACGATGTCATGTTATGAATGGTAATATATTACACAAAATTGAGATCATTTTAACATTTTTGGATTTGGAATATGAAGATATGTGATTTTAGTTGAATTGTACATGTCTGATGAAAAACAAATTTCAATAACACCTGATGAGGATCTGTTGCTTGCTATACAGAAAGCACAAGGCTAAAAGTGCTATTTCACTCTTCATCACTTGGGATACCATGGATGATAGGAATAAAAGAACTTTCAATAGGGTATAAAGCCCTTTTCATGGGACAGATATCTTTGATTGTGTATCATATTCTTTTGATTACTTGCCACACTTTTGCCAGCGACGAAGAGTTTGGTTTTGTGGGTGTCATAGAGCTTTTATCTTGTAAGGTAATCATTTGTTCATGGGTGACACCTTCTTGGTGCTTTCATTCAACATGTGGCTTTAGAAACGTAATGTTGTGTTTATTGCACAAATGAATTCCATATGCCTGCAGAATCAACAATGCCTTGATTGACATGGATTGTTGATGTAAATCAACTTTTGAACTTGCTACAGAGCTAGTTGTGGTTTTCGCCGGCATTGATGTCCTAGTTTCCGTACTGTTTATACCCTATGATCTTCTGTTTATCTTGTGATTTCTTGATATAGCATGTTTACAGTCAGTAAAAAAATTAACAAAATTAACAAAATAAAAAAATTAACAGTTGAATTAAAAATAATAAAATAAATTAAGATAAAAATGAAAATAAAAACTAAGATGTAAGTAAACTAGAAACAAGAAAATAAACTCTAGGTAGTATTGATATTGATATTAACAATCCCCGACAACAGCATCAAAAATTTGATAGACGAATTCGCAAGTGCACGAAATCGTTCAAATAATAAAGTGATTAATAGAGTATTGTTCCACAGGAATTATCTATCAAGTACCAAAATTATAAAAATTTTATTATTATTTAAAAATTGAAATTAAATTTATACAAGAAAGATTTTAAAATAATTTAACTAAAGCATAATAATTAAATTAAAAAAAAAATTATCAATGGAGATGCACAAGAGTAATTGATTTAACCTAAATCTTGTGTATATTCGAGTTTTAATTTCAAAATCGATTTAATCTAGTCTGCGATGATCAAACTATCCTAATGTTCTTTTGGTTTCCTTTTTACTATTTTCTAAATCTATCAATTAACAACAGCTAATATTTTATAATAATTATTAATTTGATTTAATTAAATATGTGATAATTTGATTAATCTATATTAATTCGACTATATTACTCCTTTAATACTTAACATTATATGTTTAATTGATAAAATTTCACTCTCATTACTCTAAAACCATCAATTACAAATAAAGTTATTAGCTGGTCAATTTTCACAACCTAATTAAGTTCAATATTATTGAATTGCAAGTAAAATAAAAGTAAAAATTAAATCATAAATTTATCTTTAATTCAGGTCACGTTAATTAATCTGGCGAAAAAAATTTAGCCAGACATGGTGGATTGAAAAACAACAATTATATTAGAGAGAAATATAATCATATAATAATTAAGAATAAATTTATTAAAAAAATTCAAACACTAGCATTTGGGTTTTATAAAAAAAATTTCATGAAAATTTCTATCCCAGAAATATACTAATTAAAAATTAAATAAATAAATTAATTGATTAATCCATTTTTTCAGCTTCTCTCCATTCTGCTTGGCTTAACATCTGCTTCTGCTTTCTGGTTCTGCCTTTCTGCTCAGGTCACCGTGTTTCTGCTTCTTCTCTAACCACACGCAACTTTGCTTCTGCAAGTTTCTGTAAACTTCTGCGTCTAGCTCTCTCCACCAACTCTGCTATCTTTTCTGCTTGACTCGCTGGCAACTTCCTCTCTGTCTATAGATCTCCTCTTCTTCACTTTTTTTTTTCCTTTTATCTCCTTTAAATAAGTGGCTACCAGAGAGGAGATGAAGTTTTCTTTCTTTAACTCTTTTTTTTCTGCTGCTTCTTCCTCTCTTTTTGTGTGTGTGTGGCTACTTGGATGGGGTGCTATAAATTTGGGCTTGGACTTCTATGGTTTGGGCTTTTGACTTCTTCTTCTTTTCTTTTTAGCTTCTTTTTCATCTTTTCTTCAACAAAACAATCTGCATCAAAAGTTTAATAATTAATTTATTTTTAATTCAATATTATTTCAAAATTATTCCAAAAAAATATTATAAAAAACAATACATCACAACACTTGAACTTGAACCTTTATATAGGTTTTTATTTTCCACTTCTAATTGGAATCGGATGTAGATTTTTTATCCAAATTTTAGTACAAATCTAATTAGAAATCAAATCCTTATCCTAATCCTAAAATAATAATTAATTAACCATATGGATAAGGTTTAATAATATTAGATAAATCTTATCTTTATCTCCATATTTCTCATATATCTTTAATCTCCATGTAGACTTCAAGTTGATGAAGACTTCTTCTTGAAAAATCTACCATAAAAATCACATGTTGGATTAGGAAAAGAAATATGTAGAAGTCTCTTTTGGATTGAATAGCTTCCCCATATGTTTCCCGTGACTCCTTTTTGCGCTAGGATTCTTCTCTAGGTTTTTTTTCCTTCGAGTTTTTATTTATTAGAATCCACAAAGGACTCTAATTCAACTCATGGAGGAGCCATCGGGTTTAGGTCTCTTTAAGCAAGTTGAGGACTCGCATGTGCGAGTTGTCCTTCTCGCACATGTGGCAACCCACACATGTGAAATAGGAGAAGTACATGTGCGAGACATATTGTCCATGGATCTCTTTTGGGCCTTGGTCCATTTTGGGCATGAGGTCTCTGGGACACCTTGGGTTGGGCTATAAATGGCTTTTTCTTTTTGCCTTGTAAATTCTCCAAACCCATGAAGCATTACTTGAATTTTACTTGAACGAACTTGACCCACTCATTGGAATAGTCATATTTAGGAAAGTAGTTAGAGATGAAGTTATTTTCCTGTTCAGAGATTTCTCATTTAAGAAACTAGAATTTACTCTCCTATTCATAGTATTCCCATTTAGGAAACCGGAATTAACTTTCTTGTTTGAACTGATCCCACTAATAAAATAAAATGATTCTAGACTCATTTGTCTGTTTGAGACGGGGCCTGCAGGATTCTTCCTTGATGCGGAATTGCATAATTTAAACTAAGTTTGATTCATCTAGGATCACGTCATTTTTTTTCCTTTATGATACTGATAGAATTATCCATGAAAATTTATGATGTCCAGAAGATACAAGAATTTATGTTAGAGTTGTAATATTTTATAGTAATCCAGTAATTTTATGTAGTTCATTAATTATTGCATAAAATTACTAAATTATTTTAATATATTATAAGATTAACCTAAATGGGTCTATAAAAAGTGCATCATCATTTGTGGTATTAAAAGAAGTCCACATAACTAATCAATATAAATAAAAAATTGAAAAGATAATTTATTTGTAAAATATAATAAATCTAGTAATAGATAATTTACATACTTTAAAAGAATAAATAAATTTATGTACTAGCTATAAATACATCGATTAATATTGATATCAGTGTAGGATAACATGTTAATATAACAAATGAATGTGCACACTCTTCGTGGAGGGGCCTGGGACAAGCCCAGTGCACGACCCACGGCCCATGCAGACCGACCTGACCAGGTTTGTAAACATCCTGAGCCTAGAATTTATGCTCTGGATGAATAATTTAATTTTAATAACAACAATAAAAATAGTTAATTTTAAATTTTTTAGAATTGTTTTGAGAAATATGGGTTTTGGATGAGTTGAAAAATATTTGGGAAAACAAGGCAAAACTATGAATAAAAGGAGAGTATATTTGAAAGGAAAGGTTGAAAACAGGGGCCAAATCGCAAAAAGAGAAAATACTACCAAGTAGGATGGCCATGTCAGTAGCACGATAAATCAGAATACGCCGCGTGGCGAACACACTGGCACGGGCTCTACGCGGGCAATCTACATGCCCGACGATCCAACGGCACGTGCTCACTCCTGCGTGCACGAATAGCCCAGATATGTTTTCCCATTAGGCACAATCGAGTAGTCCATACGTCTTCGATCGAACAGTGTAGATCTGTTCCCCTATTAGTCAAAATCATACGGCTAAGGAGGCCCTATGCAGACCCAAATGGATGGCCCAGATTGAGAGAATGAGAATATTTAAAGTCCTCTTCCACTGAAACCCTAACCCTAGCCGCACTGTGACATCCCAAATGCTAATTAAGGCATGTGGATGGCATATACAGAAATAGAATGATGAGTGCATGATAAAAATTATATGCAGCGGAGTAAATTAATACAAATCCCTTACATATATATATGAGTTACAATTATATACATATCAGTGAGGCTAGAAGTGGCTGCAAAATACAAAGTCAAAATACAAAAGAGGACAACTTCTTTCACTATGCTATTGGACTCATCAGAGTACGGGAACAATCATGCACTCAAGTTTTGTGGATCCACGGGATTCTTATAAACTTCAATAGGTAGGTCAGCTAGCGGTTCCTCATTTTCTTCCTCATCTAAGGAGAGGCATGGAAAGAGTGAGTTCTATATGTTCAGTAAGGAAAAAAGTATTTAAATAACATCATAAAGTTTTAAAATGAATTATTCAACATTAAATACTTACCCTTTGTCTATTTCATAAACCTATCTTACATTATAAAAACAGTTTATTTATTAGAAAAATATCACGTTAATATAAACAAAACAAACACACATCATACCAGATGATAGAAAAAATTAAATAAATCATGAAATACTTAGATTTTCGTATCATGCTTAAAGAAGTTGTTACAACTTCCATCTCTGAAGGTAGAAACAAATTTACAACTAACTATGTGGAATGACCATATTAGATATAGATAACGGTAATTTACTTAGGCACATTTCTGGCTTGCCAAACCATGATACGATCTATGACCATGGTCGTACCGATCATAATGGTCCTATCATATATTCTATAGTCACGACAGTACTTAGCTAAAAGTGACCCTTAATAGATATTTGCGTCACCACTCTCGTCAGAGGGTACGCTATCATCCACAAGGAGCAGTCCTCTTACATCTTTCCAAACCAGATGAGGGAGGGAGAAACATATACTCTGGATGGCGTTAGGTAAATAGATATCCCTCAGAGATAAAAAGCCTAATGGGACACTTAATGTATTATGCATGTTAATATAGATATATATTCGGACCATTCATGCTTCATTCCACATTACTCTTTTTTTTTCTTTTATTTTCCAGGTAACTTTACCGGTTTCATATTATTTTAATTACATGAAATCATCAAATGTTTATAAATCATATAGCATGCCTGAAATCAAGAACCAGTCAACTTATTAAAACTACAAATACAAAAACATGCAAAACAAGCAAAACCACAAATTAACAATTAATCTCTTTTTTTTTGTCTAAAAATAGGTCCAGGTAGTTGAAAGCTCATGAAAAGAATTACCCCACCCATGACTTGGAACTTATCGCCATTATCCATGCCTTGAAGACCTGGAACCATTACTTATATGGAAAAATATTTG